GTGGCAGACGTGGCGCTGGCAGCAGCTCTGGTGTGAGATGCGGAGTCATTCTGGATGGCTTCTGGGGGAGAAAAATGGGCTCTCCTGCCCTCCCCAGCCCACAGTGCTCCGCTTCCCAGGGTGGGGGCATGGCGCCTTGACCCCCAGAGCAGGGGGCTCACCAGGAGCATGAGATTTGGAGAACCAAACCCTTTCCTCACCCCGGGTCAGTACCCGACTCCTGAACAAACCTGCCAGGCCTGGCCCCAAATTCGAGAGGGAAACGAGCCACCCTCAATTACAGTCTTGGCCTGGGCTACGCTTGGAGAGCGTCACTCCTGTTCACATCCAAAAAGGAAAATGCCATTTCCTCTGCAGCAAATGGAAAGGTTTTTACCAAACAGGGTCACTTTTGCCTCCCTTACACCCAGAAAAGTAACCCCTCAGAGAACAGTGGTAACGGCTTCTTCTTGCTTATTTTATCAAATATTCCTACATGGAAAAAAGAGAACAACTGAAACAACGCCCGCAACCAGCCAGCCCAAGCCCCAGCCCATCCCCTCCTGCCCAGCGCGGGGTCTTTGGTCATTTTGAAGCCTTTTTACCCCTCTGACCCCTTGAAATCAATTCCTCACGTTCCCTAAACTCGGCACGCACAAATAAATCAACAGGTGGGAGGAACAGCAGGTGCTGGTAGGACCTGACACAGGGGTGTAACCAAGGTGAGCAAACACCTGGAAAACCAGGATGGCAGTGTCATCCAGCCTTTCGCGTTTTAAGAAAATCACCGAAAACACTGACTCTGAGAAGGCGACCCAAAGGACAGCTCAGGCAGCTGCCAGTCCTGATCCTTCTGAACAAACGGCGACAAGCTAAGGAAACACCGTTTTGTGATTTTTATTGATTTTGTATTAGGAGATGTCAGCATCCCCGCAGGACCGTAACCCTCCGGAGCACTGAACACTCACAACCATCCCGCGCGTCGCAGGTTTGATGCAACTGAAAAAACACTAACTTTTCAAAATGGCAGTAAAAGTGTTAACACGTATCCTAAATTAGATTTAAAAAGCAAAGAACAAATAAAATTTCAGTTTAACATAAAATTTTAAATAGGTCTACACATAAATAAGAGTGTTAGTCTTGAAGTAAACATCCTCCATCAAATCTAAACCTGCTGGATTTCTAGGGAACAGGATTTCTTCCTGAAGCTTGCGTGACTCTTCTAGGGGTGGTGTAACCTCTCTCTGCCCAAACACACGAAAACAGTGCTGGAGAGAGCAGCTTCCTAGACCTTAAAATAGCAAAAAATGAACATTCTTTAAAAGGAATAATTTCAAATAGACTCATTGTTTTGATAAAGATTGCTGAACAGACTTCTCTTGGTGACGGCCTTAGATAATCAAGACACACAAGCCCTGCTGAAAATAATTTAACCTCCAAAGCTGGTCTCTGAGAAAGATTTTTAAGGACTTTCACAAAATCCTTCACAGTGTAAATCTCTTATGTAGAATATGTATTTTAGCAGCATTTTATTAACCAAATAAGTAACTGTTATGAGAAAAGGGAACGAAAGAGAGCTCTGCTCAGTTACCACCACTTGACAAGACTCTCCATCATTTTTCCAGGAAATATATTTGCTGAAAGATTTAGAATAAGATTTATTTCTATGAGCTTACCCAAATACTGCATGCTTTCAGTGAGCACGGAACATTGGGCCGAGGGTGGCCGTAATGTCAGCGAAGGGTGCGCTCTGACTGAGCTCAATAACCAACTGCTTCTTTAGAACAAGGAAGATGTAAAACTTGGCCGCAGCTTCTTTCCGGTTGTTTTTCCGACAGAGCTCCCGTAAACTGAAAGAATGCATGCCTGATCTCTTCAGGTGCTGCATAAAGAAGAAATCAGTGGGGTCAGCTTCACTGCCAATAAAAGCAGATCCCATCAAGTCTGAACTGAAGAGCTCTGCTCGGACAGATTTTCCACTTGAACACCTTGAATAGGTTCCTATCTCAGCATTTGCATTTATATAAGTGGCTCTTAGCATTTTATTGCCATAATATTGCTAGCACCTACATATGTTACTAAAATCTACACGTGCCCACAGTTCCACTGAATTCAACGAAACCGTGCTGAGGCGTGTGATGAAGCGCGCCTGTAATGGTTTTCATGATTCAAACAATAAAAATCACTGCGTCCCCTGTTCTTTGGGTACAGAGCACCAGCGGTATCACCGGCAATTTCAGTCACAGCAAACAAAGTGTGATTATTGCTTGGTTTTTAATGGCTACGCTTATATGCAAGTATTTCTTTATGGGTGTCGCACAGAACCTTTGAAATGCATTCACATAAAATAATTAGGAAAAAAAAAAGACAAACCAAGAAGACCATGAAGCCAAACTCCGGCACGAGGCTTGGACCAAAGTTTTCTGTGTTTTGTAGACAAAACCCGCTCCGCACGCCCTCATCACCAACTGAAATTAACACCTGATTTTGGCACCTAATTACAGAATCCAGCACTGGTACCTGTAAAGTTATTAATAACTGAAGAGTTCTTCTGCTCCACCTTTTTTCTTCACTGTCTTTCCCATTCCTTGTTAGCTCCTTGAGAGGAAGTAGAACAGAAGGTTAGACAGCATGTGTGAAAAGTGACATACCATGATAATAAAAAGGAGAAGAGTTCTGGCCTAACTGAAAATCCAGCTGGAGCTGGGCATTTTGATGCCATGCTCAGGATACCTGGGACCTCGGACACCTCTGCAGTCACTCTAGGCTTTGTGAAGCAGGAGAAAGACTGTTAACGGTGTTCTTTCTGCTACGCAGAGACAGATGGGGGCAACACCGCGTTGGGTACTATGAAAGTGGTCCCACTGCGCCGTAGGGAGGCAGCTTCACAAGGAGATACTGTTCTGCACGGCGGTGATTCTGACCATATTTGTACTGCTCAGAGGCCAAACAGGACGGTCAGAAATGTGGCTTTAGATTTTGGGCTTAATCTCCAAAGTTGACAGAAGACTGCCCTTGTTTCAGTGTGAGTATCCTCATAGTCAGTAAATTCAGAACCTTTCCTCCTTACAGGAAGCACAGTCTCTAAATAAGGGGGTGTTTCCCTCACAGACTGTAACCATTGAATGCTGGAACACACATAGCCCTGATTACCAAGCCATTAAAGTTTTTTACTGGCAAAATGTGTGCTAAAGATGATGTTAGTACACTGAAATTCACTGTAAGTTCATGATGCCATCACTTCTTTTTTTTTTAAATATTTCAGAGAACACAGGTCTCTTCTGAAATAAGCCGGAGTTGTCAGCTTCGGGTACACGTACATTTGGTAGCTCAGGTTGCTGTGCTTCAGCTTCTTGGCCCAGGGGATTGTTGGCCAGTGAGGAGCTCTCAGAGAGAGCCGCTCCATCCTGCTGTTAGAACAGAAAGGACGATCAACAGGCGTTACAATTTATGCATACAATGTAATTCTCAACTACAGAATTCTGCTCAAATAATTTATTATAATAAATGTTTTCCAAAAATGATTTCATAGTTGCTATTTCTACCATGCCCTTTCTCACACAGGAAAGGATCTTGCCGTAGTATTTAGCCAACAGCTGGACCTACAGCGACGGACTCGGTTCAGGCACAGACCTGACATTTTCTGCTCCAATTTTGTCATTATTTTTCAACTGTAATGAGTTTCATATTCCCTAAGAATGCCCTTTCATGTTATCCTAAATAACGATGGTGGAAATAGATAGTTATTGCTTGAGTATTTCCTCAATTTGAGACACCAAAGATAATTTTTCTCCTTTATAAATATGATTATCTCCTCGGTACAAAGAGGCTGTATTTCATATTAAAGTTCCATTTATACTTCGTAACTAGACTGCAATCTATGCTGATTAACAGCCATTTTAATTAAAAGGTCAATTCATGGTAAGAATCTTCCAAAGTGCCTATAAATAAAACTTTCGTGACACAACCTACGTCATGCTGTATCGGCTGTCTCTAGCATCCTTCTCCAACATATATTAGTAGCTTCTTAACATGTTTTAAATGGAACCCTAGCATAATATCAAACCAATGAATACATTTAGGTCTCTAAAATTTACGGAAACTGCTCACTATAGTTTCACCACAGTTATCAGCAGTTTCATTTCTGTTATTCAGTGATGTCAACACAAATGAATAATTTCTATTTTTTCTCTTGGTCTCCGGATGAGCTGACTCCTGCAGATAACTTGGTTCTTCCACTATCAGCATCTCTGTATTAACAAAAAAACAAGGTTTAAGAGGAAATTACTGTCAAAAAGTTTGAGAAACAAAAATCACACTCTAGTCTAATCATCTTTGAGAGTAAGAGCCAGAATGAGTAAATATAGAATAAATATAATTCCCAATAGGACCACTGAAGAAGAAGAACCTTCCAAGAGAGTTTTTCCTTTTCTAAAAGTTCATGGACTTGCAGGAGGTGTTATTGTTGATTAACTTCTGAGGCAGCCATACAGATTATGTTTCCATAAATGAGTGAAAGCAGCTACATCACCTTCTCAGGAGATATAAAATGGAACGTTTCTTCTTGCTTGATATTAACCAAAACACAATATTCAAGATACAAATAGAGGTTATTTGCATGAATTGGGAAATTTGGAGAGCAGTTGATTAAACTCAGAATAATTGTGAAGCTTTTTTAAAAACAAACAAAACACAAATCTGCAGTTTGGTAGACAATTAGAGAAACCAGCGGTGAAACCAAAAATACCTCCTTATGCCACAAGGAAGAAAAAGACTTGCATTTCATTTCTGATCTAAGGAACAAAAGAACAGTGAAGTACTTACAAAAACAAAAAACCCTTTTAAAAAAAATAATTACCAGGCAATTTCCTTAACATTTAACATTTTTGGCTTTTCATTTATAGAATACCGCACACAAACACAGTGCATGCATCTCTCAAACATTATGTAAAATAGAAAATATTTTCTAACAGCAATTCTGCAACAACAGAATTAAAACATTACCTGTAGTATCTTGCACTTTTCTTGTTTCTTCTGTTTCAGACTCCCTCCACATTCCCTTTCTTCTCATCTTAAATCCGTGACTCTTGAAGCATCTTGCAAACAACTGAAAACAATTATTTTTGTTTGTTTCAGAATATGATGCCAGATTATTTGCAAACACCAACACAAAGGTATGAATATCAGCTGTATATTAACTACTGCAACCTAGAATTTAGAAAGTTGAATTAGGTCATTCTGAAAACCTCCATATTTTTTAGAGTAATTTCCTTCTGCAGCTTCAACTTTGGCATTGAACTCCATGAAGAATCATCTTAGGAACAGCTTGGATCATTTTCCCTTGAAGACAGCCAGTAAGGAGGGATGAAAGGGGAAAAAAAAACATCTGCAGTTATCTGTGTGTGGATTTTTCTCCCCATGTGCTGGTGTGTGGATATTTTTCATCCTTATAAAGAACAAGTTGTAGTTCTGCACCTCGACTCTGAGTGGTGAAGCTGTGCTGCGGCAATGAGCCTGCAGAGCTGTTTGCCTGGAGACTCTGCCTCCAGCTCTCCCCAAGCTACACCACAGAAGAGACAGAGCGCAATTAACACGAGGCTGCTGCACAGAGTTCACATCGCATCTTTCCCTGTCAAAAGGTGATCTTTTGTTCACCTTATCACCAGCTCTAAACTTACAGCTTCTTTGAATGATCTGTCAGATAATACATGGGGACATGAGAGGCTCTGACTGATCGTATTTCCGTCAAACAAGTACATCTTTCTTCTGCAAAAAGAGCAGGAAGGTCCGTGGCCATGGGAAACAGTGGTCTGGCCAAAACCATAGAGTGAGCAGGAACCCCCTGGTCCTCTGAAGGGCAAATCTCTGACTGCTCTCCAGCTGGAAGCTTCATCTCCAATTGGGAAGTACAAAAGACGTTGGCACACCATGTTCCCAAAGCCATTAACAACAACATAATAATAATATTTAAGCCTTCTGTACCTTTAAAGTAAATGTAGAAGAAAGATGTCATCTCATATTGATTGCATAGCAAAACCAAAACAGAAATAATAAAACAAAGTAGAAAGTAGGAAAGAAATTGATAGAAATCTTACAAAAATGTGTATTTGTATACAATCAGACAGGTGCCAGCATGGGAAATGAAACATCAGCTCTCAAGTTTGTCATTTTTCACTTCTTGTTGGAGTGCTGAAGATTAAAGCTGTGAGCTCTACAGATGGTCTTTCTGATAAAGCAATTAGTGGTGTGTATGCAAAGGTATCCAAATAGACTGTACCGCAAAACAGTACTGTCAATGGTGCTCGTACCCGCAACTTGCTGGTTCACGTCAAACCAAGTCTGAAAAATCTCTCTCTGTAAGACCCCAGATGTGCACCAGCCCCATAATCTGTACAGTGGCATAAAAACCTACAAGGAATTGATCTTTACCATTTGGAGGTCATCATGAACCACTGGCTGTGTAGCCTGGGACAGGAGTTTATCCACCCCTCCTGATTCCTTCCACATCATTGTTTTTTTTGTTGGGGGTGCAAGGTCTAAGGTAGTAAGGATGTCCGTGTAGTTGTTAAGTTGGTTGTATATAGTGTTGCAGCTGAGTTCCTTCTGTACATCCACAAGCAACTTCCTCTTTCTTTTATTTTTTTTCCTCTGGGTGACAGCTAAACAGAGCAAGTATTAAAACAAAAGTCTAAGAAGGTCTATTCACAGAACACTTAAGCACCAAAAAAGCGCGGTGGATCAATTGCTAACCCCCTGAAACACCACACAGACTTGAAAATAAACGTACAAGTACAGACTTGAAAATAAATGTACAAGTACATGGGCCACTTCTCCCAAGTTTTCATAAAGTGTACTCTTTGTGTTCTTGTACGGGATATTCACATGTTTCATTACGGAAGACATATGACTGTTGTACTAAAGAATAGGGAACGTGAGGACTTAGCAAGAACACATGATATACCAACAAGCCTGAATAAGCTCTCTTTAATCCATCAGGAAGTTCGTTGTTCCAAGAGCTGCCGATGTACTCAACAGGTTTCATTACCTCCTAATTAATCTCTGTCAGTTTAATCCTTTAGCAATTTAAGATGTATGTAGTAAACACGAAAGAAAGACACAGATTGGTTATAGAGCCATCACTTCCTGAATATTATTTTGTCAGGCTGGAAAATTCCAGTATTTCAAACATCAGTGCCAACGTGAACTTGTTTATTTGCCAACAGCCACCCATGTGATAGATGACATTTAGATTTACTCACAGAAGAAATCAAACCTTTTTGTATCTTATTAAAGTTAGAAGCTCACAAGACAAAATTTTACACAGGCCTGAAAGTTTTAAGATTGTTATTTTACATGTAAAAATCACTGATGTGTCTTTAGCAATAACAGTTCTTCAGCTGAAACTTCAGTAACGCTCATGAATAGGCCGGGCTTGCACTGCTGGCAGAACCGCAAAGCTACAAAGCTTGATTCGGGACGTGAAAGAAATTGTAAGCAGAGATCTGGGCAGATCAGATGAATAACCTGATATTTTTTTTGTATAATAGTGACCATAAAACAGAGCTCTGACAGCAGGAGCAGATGAAATTGTAAATATTTTCACTAACAAGAAGAAAAACAGTCCTAGTAATGCAAACAGTCAGGAAGAAACTGATCAAGGTCTGACCTGTATTGTCAACTGGCTCAAGCACAAATCCCTCTTCTTCTCTCAGCAAAAGCGTTGTTTCGTCCATTGGATGACTGACTGTCTTGTTCGTGGTGTCTGCACCGTTGGACTCAACTATAAGAAAACCCAGCAAATAACCCAAATTAAAAAAAAAAAAGTTTACAAGAAGGAATAATTTTCTCAATCTCATGACATAGAATAGTATCAGGCAAAAAAGATCAGAATTAGAAAACTGTGAATGTGAGTAACTTTAGGCACTAATACAGGAACAGAGGGTTGGTGTAAGACAGAGCGGACACTGCAAACTCACTGTCTGCACTGTTCTCTGGTAGGTCTGGTGACAAAGGACGTTCTTCCTCCTTATCAGGAATGTCTTTATCTAGGCCATTTTGCTCATCCCTCAACAGGATTTCTTAAATACAAAATGCATAGTTTTAATCATTCTAAGCCTTAGTAGTCACGAAACAGCCTGATCCAGCCTAATGTTACTTGTTTAAGGATAATTCTGTGCAAACAAGAAAAGCTCAGCTTCCACAGATGCCTGTCGATGATACGTCTGCCTTCAACAGTACAAGGAGAACATTAGTCTTAATTTTGAGACTTCCACCTTTCATTTGAAAACTATGATATTGAGATTGTTTAAAAGGTACAAATCTATAAAGGTTTACGTAAATACTCTAAACCATAAAGATGTAGAAACTACTTTGCTCCCTTCGTTATTACAACAATAAAGATAAAAATGCTGCAATATTTCACCTTTGAAAATATAAATTATTAAACATTAAGTATAAATTGAATGCCTTTAATTCTAAAGAACTAAAATACCTTCTTTAATACAATTTCACTTGGCAATATCTAAGTGATCATAGATTTAGTGACAAGTAGGGAAAAAAAGGAAGTATGAAAACAACAAAAATATAGAATTTACATTTGAAAACAATCACTTTCACACTGCCTTGTTTATTTTCCTGTAAGAATAAAAATATTTGGAAAGAAACTAACGCTGTTTATCTGGGGCAAACCCTACCAATCATATCTGCAGCATTCTCCTCATCTCCAAAACAGTCGTGCTCAAAACAATAAGTATCTTCATGCAGCGCAGACCTGTCTCCACTCACACTCGCTGAGTCGGGATCAGCCACAAGACTGTTACCGCTCATTGCGATGCTGATGTCAAAGCTCTGTTTTCTCAGTGCGTGTGGTTCTTCATCTGAATAAAGACAGAATTTCTATACTTCATCTGCATGAATTTTTGAAACATATTTATCCATTTCCTAATTTTTCAAATAATTTTTTAAAAGATTGTAAGATAGCCCATACCTCAAATGGAATAAACAATAAATAATTTTAGCTAATTCAGTAAAAAGCAGAAAATGTTGGGTTTGGTTCTCAGTCTCCAACATCATATTACTTAAGCAGGGTACTTAGACAAAAATTTAAACGTAAGACAGTATGAAAGGCCAATCAGCACAAGTATGAAGCAAACGCACTTTTAATAATAGCTTCTTCACATATGGAAAGGACTAAAACTGTTCAAAATTTTGCATAAAACACACTTTTCCTTATGGAATATTTCTAATTTCTCAACTTCTCTCACCAAAGCTTCTATCACAGAGAAGTATATTGCTTTCGTAATCCTCTGTAAGTGTGATGTCTTCAGCTCTGCTCTGATTCAAGGTAAAATGTTCAGCAACATCAATGGCACTGATGAAAAAAACATTATAGAAAATATAGGGTGAACTGAAACCCATTGACCATTTAACCGGAATGTGATAACTTATTTCTAAACAGTCTTCATCCTGATGTTTTATCATATTCCCCGAAAAGATAACTTCTGTGTTCTATGGCACCAAAAGCACCCCAGCTGATCCTTCCTTCTGCGGAGAGAGCTGTTTCCCAAAGCTATTTCCATTCAAGCCACTTAAGGTTTTATTGATAAATTTCACTGCCTTGAATTTCCTCTAAAAGCTAAAAATAAGCATATGGAAAACAGGTGCTATATGTTCACTAACATCGATACCTCCAAGCAAGCAGGCAGCTGCCTTCTTTGCTTCCAGTGTACACTGAACAGTGCAGACTGGATCTCCCACAGCCGTAACAGCCTGATCACTGGGCGAGGTCCAGAGGGAGGGGACAGCATTCTGCTAACAGCTTTGAAACACTCCCCGCTCCCGGAACTCCACAAACCAACGATCCAGGTGTATACTCAGAATGCAACCCCCTCGAGAAACAGCAGATGTATTTAGAAGGACCCATCCTCCTCTCTGTATTTCACATTTTTCCACTCTCTTCTGAGAGTAAACTGGGACTTATATGAGTTTGTCCACATCCAGGCCCTGCTACCGACCAGGTGTTGTCACACAGAAGGCATGTAATCAACGTAACATCTGTAAATCAGCCCACACGGACTCCTTGGGCAGGCAGAAAAGGCACGCTTCACAGAGTTAGCACACTGAGGTACGTGAATAAACAGTCTTACATCACAGCTGTGCTTACAAAACACTAAACACTTACAGATCCCAGCAAACAGCATTTCTGATGAGGTACAGAGAAAGCCTCAGTGGAAATCTGTTATCCTGGACCTTTGGGGGCATCAGAGCCATCATAAACATGTCCTGGCCTCCTGCTTTTTATCAGTTTTTCTACATTAATACCGATTTGTGTCAGAAAAGTGAAAGAAATATGCTGACTTTTCATTGGGAGCCAAGCTGACTACTGCTGATAAAATATCCTTGGCTCCAAAGAGCAATGGAGCAGAACTTAAAGGCAGTTGCACAACAGAACAGTGCAACGCTGCGAGGTAACTAGCCAAAGCTTCCATGCTCTTAACAATAGGATTTATACAAACTTTTCTGTCTTTTCTTGAGGTCATAAGCTGTTTGCAGGCTTTGCTCAGATAATTTAAAATTAGAAAATCCTGAAGTCTAAGTTCAACACATTATTTCATTGTTGGTTAAACGGACTTTGAGGAGCTCTGCAACAGCACAATTCTGTGACTGCAGCCTGGTAAAGCTGACTGGGAATTCAGGAGAATTCAGTTCAGATCAAAACAATTCCATCTGAGGCTCGATCAGATAACAGCAAGGATATATTTCACTTCTGCAAATATTAAAATAATGAATAAAAACTAGGGAAGCATTTACTTTAGGTCAGGTAGTGGTGTTTCAAAATCATGAAATTCTTCAGGTAATGTAATGGACTGATAAGCAGCCTCAAAGTTATCTTCCGGAAGGTCAACAAGTCCTAAAATAAACAGAAAAAATAAGAAAATAAGTATCAATAAAATAAAAGCAGTGTTCTCCCAAGCGTGTCTAATAAGACTGTAAACCCGTCAGGAAGGTCTGCTGCCGTTCTCAGTAACAGAAAGGCAAAGCTTAGGCACTTTGGCAACAGGACTGCCAAGTGGAATTAAAATCCTTCGTTTACATGTACTTTAGGAGCCATATTTTTTACAGACAGATGCAGAAGAGTCTGCTGCTACAGGAGCTGAAATACTGTCCATACATTGGGTTTATGAACAGCTACTTTAACTCCCTGAAAGATTCTCCCAGCTGACATTTGCCCTGGAGTCTGCCAATGAATTATTGCATTTTCTTGTTCTCTCCAGTGTCCGTATAACGCTATTCTCCAGCATCAAATAATTATGAAGCGAGACTGCAAAGACTTGGTAATCAGAGAATCCCGGAACAATTCAGGGGAGAAGGGATTTCTGAAGGTCAGCTCATCCAACCTTTTCCTCAAAACAGAATTAATTTCCAAGTCAGATCACTTTTGACTATTTCTGCTGATGGAGATTCCACAGCAGCCCTGGACAGCCTGTTTCCTCATTTTACCACTTCCACTGAGATTTTTTCCCCCCCTTATATCTAGTTGGAGTCTCCGTTGTTGCAGTTGTGACCGTTGTGTCTTTGTGCAGCCCTCTGTGAGCTACCACAGTATCTATTCAAAATAGATAACTACTGTGCACTTACCTTAAGTGTTTCTTCTAGAGATTGACAAATGTTTACAAATATTAACTAACTAATCACCATCGTACCCTTGAGAATGCTGCAGAGCAGGTATTTGCTACTCTGCTAACAGACCAGGTCACAAAGCACATTAAGGCTGGCAGCAGACGCTGGTGTCCTGTTCTGAGCCTTTTTTTTAGACAACAGTGCCTCCCCGTTTGGTGCCTAAGTACGACAGACACACAGCCCGTTGGAAAAGGATCCAGTCATCTCTGCTCCCTTCTCGCTGGCTGCATGGCTCGAGCTCAACACACACTGTCAGTTCTGGCGCTAACGCACTGTTAGACATGTTGTTGGTGTCATCAGAAATTAAAATTAATTAGCTAGCAATGGAGGCTGAATTCAAGCTTCTTGTCATAAGACCACGGAAGATACTGCTTCTTCTCAAGGGGTTAAAGACCTGAAAATGGCATTAAATTAAGCCAGACTAATCATCAGCGATAGGCATCAATAAGTTCAACTTCCTTTGGGATCAATACTGTGTGTTTAATAGAAATATGCAAAATTAACTTTTAAAATGAGAGCTGTAAAGGACACAGATGGAAAACTGCAGAATTCTGTACATACCTGGGCGAAAGGATGTCTTCATTTTTGTCAAAGCCTCACTACAGTCTGCCAAGAGGTACTTTGCTTTCCTGTGGTAAATCCGCACCACTCCAAGGAGTAAGTGTCCAGAGGTTCGCAGAGCTATTGTAAACTTCAATGATTTAAAAAAGTTGTTCAGGAGTTAGTATTTTTGCCAAAACCATTAAAACTAAAGTATTACAAGTAGTAACAGAGTTCCCGTAACATACACCAGCACAGAGCTCTACAAAATTCAGTAGGACTTTGTACTGATATAGAGGATTGTTAACAAAAATTAATTTTCAGAGCCAGGAACTTGCAGTTGCTTCTGTTCCTAAACATTGCCATGCCGAAACGTGAGCCCTGAACTGATTCTCTAACTTTATCTAAAACAACTCAGCTGACTGCTAGTGAACAGTGTAACACATCCTGAAACAGAAAGTAGCTGCACATATCCTAGTATTTGACACTTGGGTTATCTGAGTGAGCAGACACCATGCCAATAGCTGGTGTCTATTTATGCAAATAAAGGCTATAACTATGTCCTTGTTTAAGCAAAGCCTTCCTGCACCAAACACACTCAACGTGGTCACATGGATGCTAGGCAGGACAGCATGCAAGGGAAAGTAAAGGGTACTTAACTAATACCTCTTAGAAAATGCTTCCAAATAGTATCAAGATCATTTAACAACACTCAGTTAATCATAACCCACGCAAGACAGACAATGAAATTCAGACCATCTAATATCAAGCAGGTATTATCCTGGAGAAAATAAAAAAATCTGCTTGCGCCAGCTGAAAGCCTTGGATCGCCTCAGCCATCGATTAGTGACAGTGCAAAGTGTTCCTCGCTGTTCCCTTGGATGCAATTGCAACAGCGAGGCCAAGGACTGAGTCATGGGTACTCAGCTGCCTGCATCTGTGCTTGCTTAAATCATACCTTCTCTGTGATACGCAGAGGACTTCAGCCTCCGGGACTGTTCACACAGAGTCTCTCATAAGCACTACGTATGCTTAATTATATATTTAACAGCTTACAATGGGGGACCTGGAAGAAGTCCACCAAAAGTGGAAGGATGGTTACAATATGTCAAAAGTTATTTATTATACAATCAGCAGAAGCACTCTCCTCAAATGGTCAGTGCACAATTTCACTGCAGTTTCCTAGTCCTTTGACTTTGGTTAAGCAGCTGACTTTTCAATCTTTTTGAGACAATTTCCTCAAATGCCAGCATTTCCCAGATTATTTTGAACAATACCCACGGCTGGTACTGAAAGTCTCCAAAGAAAGACCAGTGCTACCACACTGATGGGCTGGTGGTGCCTCATGAGCGGCTCAAACCCACGTACGGTGATCCCCTGGCCAGAGGCACCCACACAGCGCTCACTGGAGCTCTATCCGTGTGTGGAAAAATACATTTGAATATATTGTGGTAACATTTTCTTACACTGTACATAAATGTATGCCAGAGATCTCCAGGAGTAAAACAGCAAATAAAATATTTATTTAACTGTCATTTAACAGGATGGAGATTTTATCTGAGAACTGAATAAAATTAGAGTAGGAATTTACCTCAGATTAGTTCTGAAATAGCCACAAATTTGTCCTAAAGTCTCCACGATAGCACCAGTCCTGTTCCCTACCAAAGATCAACAGCCCTACACCAGAACTTACCAGAAGACACCTTCTCATTTAATAGCATACCTTGGGCGAGATCATCTTTTCAACAGTAGTCTCTAAATTGCACTCAAACACATGAGCTTTGGTGAGCTTCTTCTCCCAGTGGGCAGCTAGCCATATTTTGGCTAACGGCCCGCGCTTGTTGACCAGCAAATGCATGTAGAACATGGCGCCCGGGGCCACAGGCCAGCCCTGCCGCCACCGCCCGGGGCTCTTCCCCTCCCAACGGCAGAGGGGTCCCGGGGCACAAAGTGGGGAGAGGGATTTAGCAGGACCTGAGGGAATGGGGGGACCCAGTCGGGTGCTGAGGGGATGGGGGGATTTGGCGGGACGCTGAGGGGATGGAGGCTACCAGCTGGGCGCTGAGGGGAGCTGAGGGGATGAGGGGATCCTGCCGGGCTCTGAGGGGACAAGGGGGATTTCCCGGGCCTTGAGGGGATGGGGGGGACTCAAATGGGCACTGAGGCGATGAGGGGATTTAGCAGGACCTGAGGGGACAGGGTGACACAGATGGGCACTGAGGGGACAAGGGGGATTTTGCAGGATCTGAGGGGATGGGGGGGACCCAGTCAGGCACTGAGGGAACAGGGCGGAGGGTTTAAATGGGGCCTGAGAGGATGGAGGATCCAGCCAGGCGCTGAGGGGACAAGGGGGACTTACTGGGATTTGAGGGGATGGTAGGACCCAAATGGGCACTGAGGGGATTTAGCAGGACCTGAGGGGACAGGGTATAGACGGGCACTGAGGGGACAAGAGGGATTTTGCAGGATCTGAGGGGATGGGGGGACCCCGTCAGGCGCTGAGGGGATGGAGGGTGTTCAGTGGGATCTGAGGGGATGAGGGGGATACAGCCGGGTGCTGAAGGGACAAGGCGAGGGATTTAGTGGGGCCTGAGAGGATGGAGGGGATCCAGCCAGGCCCTGAGGAGACAAGGGGGATTTAGTGGGATCTGAGGGGATGGGGGGCCCCAGGTGGGTGCTGAGGCGACAAGGGGGATTTGAGGTGCCCTGAGGAGACGAGGGGACCCCACTGGATGTTGAGGGGATTGAGGGGGGGATTTAGCGGGT